TCAAATCGCAGAAGTGAATGCAAAAGACATGATTAGTGGAGGTGCCCTGTGGGAACTAGTTCGTATTTCCCGGGACTGTTCACGAGAGGACATAAGGAGTCTTGCTCATCGAACTTTGAATTCAAGCCCCACTTTCCGTGCTGAAATGCGACGGTTACGGATAGACTACTGATTAGCAAGCAGTATGATAGGCTGCTTTGAATATACTTGTTGTCTCCAGTCATTGACACTGATGTGCACACAGATTAGTGATGCTGCTGTATAGGCTTGGGCAAGAATTGTGTCTAATTATTCTGACATGCCAAATAAGGGGCATGACCGGTCGAATTCCTCGCAATTTTTGTGTAAAGTAAGCGAGGCTTCAGTTTATATCTCTGTTTAGCTAGCATCTGTGTTTATAATTGTTTAAAAGAACAAATTAAAGGGAAAGATTTTTAGCTGCTTGAGGGTTAGTCGAGTCTCTCCTTTTTAGATCATGAAAGGTAGAAGACAAGCTCGAAACTTCAGTACGTCTTTTCCATTGTTGTATTGATTTATTGATATAAGCCAATGATAGTCGTCATTCTTTAGTTTTTTTAATGCCGACTTCAGTGTTTTATTTTTTGATTTCGGGTCTTATGTTTTCATGTTATATTTGGGGAAGTAAAATGTGAGTGCTTATGCAATTGCAACCTTGATTAAGGGCTTGTTTGAGAGTTATTTCGGCACTTTTGTGAGGGAGAAGCACCCCTCTCATGTGCTTCTCTATATAATCACATTGGTTTTAAGTGATTTTATGGAGAAGTACATGGTTCTCCATAGAAGTGATTTTGGGCCTATTTGAAATCACCCCTAAACGAGCCCTAATTAAGTGAATATTTGAAGGAAACTATGGAGCAAAGCGGATATAACTTACAAGAAACTCTTACATACAATGGGTTTATTTGTTGAAATAATCACAGTAATTATGATATTCGTATGCAAGAATTTTTCGTCATTGAGCATTTGAGGTTTAAAGATCTTAATGTTTTATGTAAGCAGCAATTTGTTCACTTAAATTTCAAATAACATGAAACCTCAAAGTTAGAATGTGCCTTTTTTTTTTAGCAATTGGATTATTCTCTGTCGCATGTCGCATAAAACGTAGCTCCTTTAGGCTTGTAGTGCAGAATATATCTTAGCTCTATAAAATTAGGGTAATTAAGGATTCTAATTTGATGCCTTGTTTATGTGGTTCAAGTCTTCTTGAAAGGCATTCCAACCTCTAAATTGTAGGACCAAACCTTTAAAGGCATTCCAACCTTTAAATTATAGGACCAAACCTTAAAAATAGAAAAAACAGACAATTCTAAAGAGCTCACATCTCTTGTAGAAGATATTATTAAGAAAGGACATAATGTACTTTTCATTAGGTAAATAAATAAAAAAAGGGTATGACTCTACATGACACATGGAATATTGTTCTTTAATTTTGCTAAAACAATACATGCAAGATGTTGAGGATTATCAACACAATTATACTATAAATGCTTTATTAGTTCATTCCTAACTTTTTGAATGGTTAAGTATGTTCTTGGTAAATGTAGAGTCAATATTTTTTGTTTCATCATTCAGTTGACGGGATTCGAACTTCTGACATCTTTCAATATTAAGAAGAAAAATAGTTGGTTATATGACATTTTGATCTCAAAAGGTTCCCATATATATACTCTCATGAAACTTCAAATTTCAAAGTTGTAAAAACATATGTGCACAATGCTAGACGGGTTCGACTTCACTATTATGTAGTAAGTTCCGCATAATTATTATTAGAGTTCACTACAACACACCGAAATATACTAAATAATTGTTTCATAAGATGAGGGGTCTTCTAAACAAAGTTAAATTCTAGTTTAGTGACTTTTTATAGTTAATTAATGATGAGACCTAGCACCACTTTAGGGTTATGGTGAAGGCTGGGGAACCTTAACTTTAATTAAACATCATCATCATCCACAACTTCTCGTAACACATTGGAACATGTACATTTTGCTCTTTAGGAAGTGTCAATCATTAGAATATAATAACAATTCAACTGAAGACCCGCACCAATATCCATCCTTTCATGATTGAAAATTTGATAGGATATATATATAGATATTTGTAAGTACATAATAATTTATTACAATTAAAATTCCAATCAAGGTAAAGAGTAAGTGGGATATTATTTGTCTTTTCTTTAACACATTAAAATTCCACACTGCACAGAAACATGATTAAGGTGATGACACAACCAGGGCTTTATGATAGAGGATTAATATTTAATACTAAACAACTATTTCCTTCTTAACATCAAGTTTCCTATAACTTATAAGCATACCCGTTTAATATGAAGAGAGAAACATGCCCTTGCCTTACTGATAATCTAAGATTCAAAACTCTTCTCATCAGATGAGATCGGCTCAATTCAAGGATTTTGAATCAATTAGTAATGGAGAGAGTGACTTATAACTCCTTATAAACCCTTATAATGTTTATTCACTTTCCGATGTGAGACAATTCTTCACATCTTCACATCAATAACCATGAACCGAACACGGGTTTACATATATGGAATCCAAGAACTTATCAAACTTAACCACTGGGATTATCATGATTGAACCAAAGGAAGGTCCCAATACATATTTAAGCTACTATATGGATCCTAAAAGTTAAAGCTGATAGGAACTATATAGACCAATCTATATCAAACCTAAGACAATAATAGGTGTTAAGTATCACACATGCATGAACATAATAGAAGCAAGTAGATTCTAAAGCTATATAACGCACGTATGATATATACGAACTCTGTTGAGGCTAACGAGGAAAAGAAGGTTAAAGCCTGCTGTGTTTTGGATCATGAAAAACTGCAACAGGTTGAAGGTCTTATAGCTTTGATAAGCTTTTAAGGCGATGTCGAAAAGCAGAAAGCAAGAGGACAGAAATAGAATATTGACACTTCGTATACAAACTCAACAATCAGACTGTACTTTGAAGAAAGTGATGCTCGTCATTATGAACAGGAAACGATTTATATATATATATATATATATATATATAAATTCTCTTATGTCTATGTCCAAATGTTATTACCTTGTGTAAGTTATATATTTTTTATTACCCTTTTTTAATTTTCTCATTGTTTAAAATGACGTCTGCACAATATATAATATGTAGATGAAAGAATATATAAATAAACTTGAATTGTCTCAAGCACAGTAGACATGCATGGTCCACCTAATAATCACCCCTCAAATTGTATAAGGTTTAAATAATTTATAACGCAAATTTATACACAAACAAAACTTGAAAGCATAAGGGCAAAAATAAAGGCTATATATCAGCTAAGATATATATATTTGTGTTGCTATACACAAATCTATAGAAAAATTCATCTTATGTATACTTGTCATATCTTAAATATTTAAAATCTATATTTGTGAGATTCGTGTACAATTTGTAAGGAATTTTGGTTATTATTTATAGACATATATAAAAAGATGGAATACTAAATTGTGAATATTATGTAAGGACAGATTCCTCCTTTGAAGAATCTAAAGATTCCATAACCACAATCAAATAAAAAGGCCAGTTAAAAAAGAAAATATATATCCATATCTATATGTTTCAGTTGCACCTTGAAGAAGAAGTCCTCTTCCTTATAGATTTCTTTTGGGAATAAAATAAAAAAAACACAATGTCTGCTAAAATTCATCAAACCAAGATCTAGAGGAAAAAGAAAAGGAAAGCAATAATTAAATTAGGGGAGGAAAATAAGAAATTAAAATAAACTAAAAGCCAGGCATATATATATCTATAATGCCCACTAAGAACATGACTAGATCTTTAATGCACCAAAAATACTTAGGGCAGAGAATCTGAAAAATTGTCTAATCATGTGTAGCAGAGCTATATTGTCCACGAAGAACATGACCGGATACTCTCTTATCGATGAAGTGCAGAAATGTCCAAATAGAGAAGTAGAGATAACTAGCTAGGGTTTCGAGGAGCATCCCAATATTTGATCGGAAAATCAAGACAAAAATAAATACTGTTTTTCGTTTTTTATGAAATTTACTGACCTCAATTTCTCTCAGCTGCTTGATTCACTCCATTCCTTTACTTCTGAGGAGAGAGAGAGAGAGAGAGAGAGAGAGAGAGAGAGAGAGAGAGAGAGAAAGTTTAACGCTTGCTTGAGTTGAGGTCAGTTTTGTTCTGGTTGTTGCCTCGAAAAGGAGCTTTAGAGAGAGAGCAGTGCACGTGTGACCCTGTATCCAATGTCCTTCTCGGTCGACCTCCATAATAAACCCTAGCTAGCTAAATCACTGGGTCAGAGATTCAGAGAGAGAGAGAGAGAGAACCCTATATTCTCTTGAGGAAAAGACGTTTTCACCAACCTCTTGAAACCGTCACGAACTTAAAAGTTAAAACGAACCTCTTTAATTTCCATAACAACAACAGTAACTGCTACAAACAGTAACAATGAACATGATGATTTCTATTTTATATTTAAAAGAGAATATGTAGGAAGAAGAAGAAGAGTTGTGTATTCTATACAAGCAAAACCTATAAGAAATCGAGAACAAACATTAATCTAAGAAATCCAACCACAACCAAAAAAAAAAAAGGAAGAAAAATTGAAGGGAGACAGCAGAGAGAGAGAGTGAAATGGAATGCCAACCTTTTTGCATAACTTGTTGATGCTTCATCTCTAAGCTAGCTACAATCACTTGAGGTGAATTGAAAGTAACTATTCCACTAGTAAAACCAAACACCCCCCCACCAAAATCCATCCAATTTTTCAATCCAAACACCCATGTAGATGACTCAATTCCATGACAACTAATCAACATCTTTAATTAACTAATTCATTAAACATCAACTAAATTTTATAAAAGAAGAAGAATCAAAAGCTGTTTAATTTGAAGAAAAAAAAAAGAGAAAGAGGGATCCATCCATCCGTCTTAGATTGAGAAAAATAAAAAACACAGTGAGCTTCTTTTCTTGCTTAGCGATCAGTCAGTCAGTAAGGAGGGCGTGCTGTGCCCCAATATCCCTCAGCAGGCAATTGGCATGAATTTAGTAAACTTTGCGGCATCCCATGAAAAAGCGACGGTGCATTAGGATCTTGCAATAGTTGCTGTTGTTGTTGCTGCTGCTGCTGAATCGACTGCTGTTGATGTTCTTGCCCGCCAACCCCGGGAGACCCGAGGGGTCCGCTTCCCGGCACCTGCCCTGCGGCAGCAGGCTCCTCCTCCTCCAGAGGCAGCCTCTCATAAGCTGCATTACCAAAAGACGCTGCCATGATCACCACCGGGCCCGATGCCAGGAGCGGGCCCACAACCCCGCCCCCGACCACCTGGCCCTGCACGCCGGCCAGGTATATAGTTAAACCTGAAGCAGCGGGAGGGGCAGGAGGGGGCAAAAAGGACCCGGAAAGCGACAGAATTTCAAACCTGCCGTGTAAGGTGACCACAGATCCCGGGGAGGCCGGTTGTCTTATAGTGACATTAGTGACGGTTCCGCTGCCGCTGAGGATGCAAACTCCTCTTTGCCTGATCCTGGCGAAAGTGGAGACGCTGTCCATGATATCGCAGCCGTTGGCGACTTCCATGACGTGGGATCGGAGAGCATTGGCGCTGTCCCGGGTTATGATGATGGGGGGCTTGGCCTTGTTCTTGGAGCCCGCAGGGCGGCCCCGGGGTCTCCTCGTGATCTCGCCCTCCCCGGCACTGGTGGAGCCCAGTTCCTTACCTTCCAAGGAGGTGGTGGCGGCGGAGGTGTTCTCATCACGATCGCGCTTGATGCCGCGGCTAATTAGGCCTCCTCCACCACTGCTGTTCTGCTCGTCTTCGGAATTGTGGTTGTTGTGGTGGAGGTGGTGCTGGAATTGGTGGTGAGGATGTAAGTGGAGATCTCTAGAAAGAAAAGAAGGAGGCAGTGGACGCCCATGTGCTGCTACTGGATCCATATATGCGTCTATATTTTTCTTGCAAACCTAATTTTGAGCTCAGGGAGCTAGCTCTCTCTAGCTCTTATATATGCAATTAAGCAAAACCCAACAACAAAAGATATTTGAGGATCGAGGGAGATAGATATGGAGGGCTTGTTCTATTTACTTTCCTTTTTTCTTTTTTCTTTTTTCCTTTCCTGTTTTTTTGGGTATTTGGTGAGGAAGAGAATGGGGCTAATAATCTTCACCAAATTGAAAAGAAGGAAAAGGGGAAGTCTTTCTAGGGCATACCCACCAAACATTCAGCTGAAAGAGCTGAAGAATCAACCATCTTTCTTCCTTGTACAAAATTACTCTTCTTCTTCTTGTTCTTCTCCTCTCATCATCATCATGTGAGTGAGTTTGCTTAACTTTGTAGTTGGTTTTGGTTAAGAGTTTGGGAGGAATGAAGAAAGGAAGATAGAGAAACAAGTAAGAGAGTAGAGAAACAGAGAGAGAGAGAATTAGAGTTGTGGGATTTTGGCCATGGCCTCTCAAGGGAAGAAGGTGGGTGGCGTTAGTTTTGGAACTGTTGGGATTGAATGAATGAATTGAGCTTTTTGGGGTTTCGATTGATGAGAAGACTTTTGAGAGAGAGAGAGAGAGAGAGAGAGAGAGAGGCTTTTTGATTTTTAGGTTTTGTTGTTGGTGTGCCTTGCTGGATATAATATTCTAGGGTTAGGTCTGGAGGAATTTAATCGGATCGATGATGTAGTACCATGGATTGATGAGTTGATGGATGGATGGATGGGTTGATGATGAGACCCTCCTTCACTTCGTTTTGGTAAGACAGCGTGCGCATGGGCGGTGTGTGGGTCCCACCGCCTTCCTCTTTGTCTCTTGCTCTCACTCACTCTCCCTTCCTCGGGGGGCCCCAACACCGGAACCCCATGCTCTCCCCTAAGCACTTTTCTTTTAGTAATTAATTTGTCTTCTTTCGCTATGACTATGAGTCCATGGTTAATTAATTATTTACAAGCCTGCACTCACTAATTCATGATTTTTCTAGCTATCTTCTCTTCTTTGCTCAATCTCCTAACCTTGATTTATTATTGCTTAATTTTCATGTGTTTTATCACTATATATATTAGTTGCATATCTCCATATAAGCTTGTTATGTTGAATTGGATCTTACAACGTACTGAAGATAACAGGCAGGCAATATATATCTTTCTTCTCTCCCCTGCAGTCTGCATATGCCTTATTATATATATCACTAGTCTCACTCATCGATGCAGAATTTAATTAAAAACCAGGAATGAGAAACACATGCCTACTCAAAGAAACTAAGCTCATTTCTTCACTCGGTTATTTACTCCTGCTTATTTCTCTTAACCCCTTTGTAAATTGTATACCCAACGAAAAACCGACTTCTCTCTTTAATTTTTAGCTTTTAAGACCTAGTCAGCTAGCGAGTTCCAAAACTTTCAAGAGACAATTTTATAGTCTATTTTGTTTATCACGTGATGAAACAGATATATACAAAGTGTTATGAGACGTTTGAGAATTTATTCTTCGCTACAGCGATACATGTATGAACTTTGAGCATTAATTAATTAATTCATTATAGCAAACTTTCCATCTGCCTACACAACCAACCAAGTGCTTTTAATTAATTAACAACTAATAACACCATCTAAATGTAAGCCTAATATAAGGGGGAAAAAAAGGGGGTGGGGGGGGGGAGGAAAGAAAAAAAAAAGTTATAAATCTTGGTTTTGTGATTAGTAAGTGATCATAATGGAAAAGGAAGAAGACTGGAACTGCATGTGAGTCACGTGACACGTAATTTCTTTCACTGGAAGAAGCAGCAGCAGCAGCAGGCCGGGGTGGAGTTGTCATTTCACTGGGGGTGGGGAGTCGGTCTCATGGGAAATTGAAGTGGGGCCCTCCCGCTAGCAATTGGGGTAGGCGGGAGGGGGAGTCAGGGCGTGTCTTACGGGCGACCCTCGTTCGTTTTGATCCTCCCTTCCCTCCATCAGTTGATGTCTTTTCAAGTTTCTGATTTGTGTGATGACGTGGCTCTCGCCGGCTCCTCCTATCTTATCACGTCAACCGCCACGCGCGCCTCCAATTTTCTCTTCCAATCCAATTATTAGTGAACTTACCTAATTGCTTAATTACCATCAAGCCATTTTGTCGTTATTCATGCCCTTAAATGATCGGGGCATCTTTTAAACTAGAACTTTCGTTAGGACAAATAATCTAACAAATTTGTACTTGCTACATAATTTCATTTAAGTCTCTATTCAACATGTTTATCGAGAATTTAATATGGTACATACATAGTAAATTTATCGAGAATTTAATATGGTAATACAAGAGTAAACATGTAAAATAATAGCATGTCATGTTGTATTCAAACTTTTGATATTTATTACATATAAAGGATAGATAGATTTGTTAACTACCAATAACAAAGTTGCACTATCATAATGAAGTTAGCCACAATTAAGTATCGAATTCATATCAAAGACTAGTTGATATGAAAACATATTAGTTAAGATTGCGACAATGTATCAAAAATTAAAAAAGCAATAACAGTGAAATCAATGGAACTTTAAGCCATTATATGATAAGCTGCATTGGAAACCATAACAGTTTAGTTACTTACTTGCATGATCTATATACAGTTAATTTATGCATGTGATTCAACATTAATTTAGGGTAGTCAATCCCAACATGTCAGCTAAAACACTTGGATATAATTGACTTTAAGATCATGAGACTTTTTGGATAAGTTCGAATTTGATGAGTTTTTTATGGTGGATTTTTGGTTAATGTGAGAATGTGAAGAAATAGGAAAGTAACCTAGCTAGTACAGTAAGGGCTTATAAAAAGTTCCCAATTAATTTTCGGGTTGAACCTGAACTTCTTTTGTAGTATTAGAGTCAAGTTTGTTCACGTATGAAGCCGAACGATTATACATATTTCACAGATAAAATTTATTATAATATCTCTCTGTCCAAATCAACATTTTATATAAATTGATACACAAAGAATTAGGCCTCGAAAATTTAATTTGGCATATATATGAATGGACTTAAATCGATGATCACAACCAACAAGAGTCGTTGATGAACAAAATTGGATTTATTTGTACAAGTTTTTCATAGGTGATCACGGCACCGTTGGATATGTTGGCATGTAGTGAGGCTCTCTCAGTTGCTGACGCAAGTGTCCAACTCAGGCGCACGTGCACGGTTTTACACTTGATCGATCGCTAGCTTTTTTTTGATCGCTAGCTAACTTGCTTGCTTTAACTTGAATCTCTTTCGCGGAATGCAAGGAAACCAAACCTTCCAACCGAAGTCATGTCCCCATGCTTCATGCTTCTCCACATCCATACATGTCCATGTATACATGATAATGATATTCCAAGATTGTTGTCTTTATGTTATAGCAAAATCGGAATGGATTCAATCTAAATGATGTCATTTTGAATGCGCTACATGGTCAGAAAAGTACATTGCTATAAAGGGTTTTTCTTTTGATGAAACATGTGTTTGTTTTTTATTTTTAATGTTTTTTGTTAGAATTAATTTGGTTATAAATTCATGATGAATTGGGAAGCAGCTGCAGTGATGCAATTAACTTGAAGAAGGGAGGGCCATTGGAACATAAACGATATGGGAGACAGTTTGACTGCATCGTCAATGGTGCTGGGTGTAGGTTGAATGGCAAACCGCAGCGTGTGGGCGTGAATGAATATGAGAGAGAGAGAGAGAGAGAGAGAGAGAGAGAGAGAGTGTGTTTTGAGGATAGTCCATTTTGATCATTTTGGTGCGGGGGTGTCACTGTCTCTCACACGCGCTCAATCTTCAAGAAAGATCATTTTGACTCGGGGGTGTCACTGTCTCTCACACGCGCTCAATCTTCAAGAATCAATCAAACCCCCATTTCATTGCTCTATGTCTCTCACACTCTTTATAAAACCATTTTTTTTTAATCATAACCTAGTTGTATTGTACGACGATATTCAAGGTCATTTTACTATATTGGGTATTTGCGTGCGAAACAAAGAGTACTAGATTTGTACTTGTGTAGGTAACTAAAAATGTGAGGGTATACTAAATCTAGATATTAATACGAGTTGATATTATAAACAACTTTATTGAGGTTAGTCCAAGCAGCGAGAGTGTACGAGAAAATGAGTTGGGATTAAGAAAAGTCAAGAATTTAACTTTCTAATTCATTGAGAAATTAAAATGTATATCATATACGACCATCGCACGTATTGAGTATAATGATAATACTACACTTTGGTTAAATATGGTAATCTCATGTATTCTAACTTTACTTTTGCCTTCGCATATCTTAATTTAATGAATAAGATTAAAGGTGGCCAGAAGAATTACTCTAGCTCTATTATTTTATGGACAACATTAATATTAGCAATCTGTCAAGTCAAGCATAAAGTTATAAACACAGAACAAGCCAAATCATTTGGCAGCTCAAAGTCCAGTTGAGATGCTAATACAGCCAGGAGTTGGTTAATACCAGCTAGTGATCAGTTAAACTAATTATAGTTGTAACAGATTAGTTATCTGTTAAGCTCTGGTTTGAGAGGTTAGAGAAGGGACGTTGGCTACAATAGTGTGTTGGTTGAACTATTGAACGAGAAACTATGTATGTAATTAACCAGTTTTTCAGTCCCTCCTGAAATTCTAAGTCCTTTGCAGCATACATGCGAGATGCAATTACAAGTTGTTCAGCTTGAGTTCTCATATATATAATTAAGTTTGACTCTCTTATTTAAAATTCGATATTGTTTTACGATGTCATATTCCACGCAATAAATAATTCAAATTAAAAGTATGTAACTTATCAGATTATCTGGAAAGAGAAAAATTTCGAATAACAAAACTTATATAGTTTTATTTTTGTGTTTCCCTACTTGTGGTTCAACTCAAACCTTCAAAAGTCTTAAAATTTCTTCATGATCTAAATTTCAAGATGAGAGATATGTGACACTGGATCCATTACTTGTTAAACCAAATTAATCAGTGTACTTTTCGTATGCGGATACAAGCGGTCATTCTAACCCTTAGCAAACTTAATATCAATGTCAAGCTGGTTCTACTTCTTTTGAGAGAGAGAGAGAGAGATCAGAGATCAGAGAATAAACAGAGAAATAGGGAAAGTTATTGGCCAAAAGAGAATCTAAATGTCTCTCCCTCTAAACAAATTCAGCCAAGTCCTCTCCTCCCTCTCTTTCTCTAAGAAACACATCTTAACATTAGAAAAATATTTGTAGTGATCTAACACCGCAAACTGTCCCTCTCTTTCTCTCAAGAAACAAACAGAAACTTAAAACTTCCAAAAAAAATTAAATTTAAAAAAAAGAAGAAAGAAAAAAGAAAACAGAAGGCACTCTAATTAATATATACAACAACCATCGTTTTCTTAAGGCAGTCAACGGCGCATTCAGCCACACCAACTCTAAATTTTTTAGGTATTGAAACTTCAAATTAATATTCCCTTCATCATCAATAACCCTTCAAAGTCCATTAGCTAGATTCAAAACCTTTCCTCATGCTTCATTCGCTTATTATTAGCAAGCTTCACCTGTCAGATCTTGAACTA